ACATTGCAAAATCGAAAACTCGAGGAACTTAAATCCAAAAATTGAAAAACTCAAAACTTGGCAAACTGAAAAACTGAAAAATTTAAACTTGAAAAGGCGAAAAACTTAAAAATGAAAAATTGCAAATCGAAGAATTGAAGAAACGAAAAATTGACACGAAAAAACAAAAAATTATAAAACTGAAACATTGAAAAAAATAAGAAAATAAAAAACCGAAACTAAAGATTAAAAACTCAGGAAATTTAATTCGAAAGATGGAAAAATTCAAAAGTTGAAAAATTGAAAAACTGAAAAATTTAAACTTGAAAACTCGAAAAATTTAAAAATGAAAATTTGCAAATTGAAAAAATGAAGTTGAGATTGAAAAAACAAAATAAAATCAGAACATTGAAAAAATAAAATTAGAAAAATGGAGAAGTGGAATAAATGGAAAAGTTTTAAAATCAAATCATCCAAAAATGGAAAAATTCAAGATTTTAAAAAATATTGTTATATGTATTGTACATATTTAAAATAGAAACTTACAAAAATTGTAAATCAAAAATTGAAATGAAAAATTAAAAACCGAAAACTTGCTAATAGAAAAATTTTGGCGTATAACATACCTTCCAAGAAAAGAGAGGGCGGGTGGGCGGGACTAGTACTTGCCAAGATACGAATGATTTTTACCCTGGAAGGTATGTTATTTGCCAAAATCAGTCTTATCTTAGCAAATACTACACTACAAATCCGAGTTTATATACTTGTTCATGCAAAAATGTTGCTGAAGTCATCACAAAACTGTGTAAAGTAAAAACTCAACTCGAAAATGCTGGAAATGTTTCATTGTACTTTCGACCAATTTTTTGGTTTGCCGCTCATTGCTACAACGGTATTTACTACACGGCGGGCGCTCATTGGTTACAATGTGACATTAGTTTGACAGTTAGATTATACTTCAATTTGAACAAGGCGGCAAAGTCAACGCCTGCACTGATCCAATAATTGATTAACAGTTCAAAAATATTGCTCAACTTGTACAAACTTTCCAAACACCCACTCCCTTATCTCCGAAAACCTTCCACTATCTATCGCCCGATTAAGTTCGCACTCGAAACGCTTTTTATTGATTGTGTATCCGTCTCAAAAAGTGATGACGTCATCTCCTGTGTTTTCATTTTCATTGTCTCGGCGTTACATCACAATTTTTCATTTTTTTCAATGTTTCTTTCAATTTTACAGTTTTTCGTTTATTCAGTTTTCAGTTTTTTCAATTCGTCAATTTTTTGATTTTTAAATTTTGCAATTTTTGGATTTCCAATTACCCGATTTCTTTAATTTTCGGTAATTCAGTAAGTACGTAGTTTTTCCGATTTAGCACTTTTTCAATTTTTAATTTTAAAATCGAAAAATGGAAACATTTTAAAAATTATAATAAATATTATTACACCTAGAACTAAAAAATTGCAAATCTAAAATTGAAACAATAAGGAAAAGCATAAACGAAAAACTGAAGACAGAAAAAATTGAAAAATCGAAAAATTCAAAATTTAAAAATTGAAAAGGCGTGAAGCTGCAAATCAAAATCGCAAAATCTAAAAAGTGAAACATCCAAAAGTTGGAAAATCGAAAAACTAAAAAATTTTAAAATGAAAACTCGAAGCTAAAAAATATGAAAATTTGCAAATCAAAAAATTGAAGTTGTAATTGAAAAAATAAAGAAAACAAAAAAACCGAAACGAAAAACTGCATAGCGAAAATTTCAAGACAGGAAAAATTAAAAAATTAAAAATTGAAAAATTTAAAATCAGATATCGTAGAATTGAAAAAGTGAAACATTTAAAACAAATTGTCATTTTATACATATTTAAAATGAAAACTAGAAGAATTGTGAATCAAAAATTTGACAAACGAAAAATTAAAAACCGAAAAATTGAAAAAATAAAGAAAACGCAAAACCGAAACGAAAAATTGAAACATCCAAAAGTAGGAAAATCGAAAAACTGAAAAATTTCAAAAAGTAAAACTGCAAATAGAAAAATTAGAGAAGCGAAAAATTGAACATGGAAAAACAAAAAATTAAAACATCGAAACATTGCAAAATCGAAAACTCGAGGAACTTAAATCCAAAAATTGAAAAACTCAAAACTTGGCAAACTGAAAAACTGAAAAATTTAAACTTGAAAAGGCGAAAAACTTAAAAATGAAAAATTGCAAATCGAAGAATTGAAGAAACGAAAAATTGACACGAAAAAACAAAAAATTATAAAAGTGAAACATTGAAAAAAATAAGAAAATAAAAAACCGAAACTAAAGATTAAAAACTCGGGAAATTTAAATCGAAAGATGGAAAAATTGAAAAACTGAAAAATTTAAAAAAATTGCAAATCGAAAAAATGAAGTTGAGATTGAAAAAACAAAATAAAGTCAGAACATTGAAAAATTAAAATTCGAAAAATGGAGAAGTGGAATAAATGGAAAAGTTTTAAAATCAAATCATCCAAAAAAGGAAAAATTCAAGATTTTAAAAAATATTGTTATATGTATTGTACATATTTAAAATAGAAACTACAAAAATTGTAAATCAAAAATTGAAACGAAAAATTAAAAACCAAAAACTTGCTAATAGAAAAATTTTGGCATATAACATACTTTCCAAGAAAAGAGAGGGCGGGTGGGTGGGGCTAGTACTTGCTAAGATACGAATGATTTTGGCATATAACATACTTTCCAAGAAAAGAGAGGGCGGGTGGACGGGGCTAGTACTTGCCAAGATACGAATGATTTTTACCCTGGAAGGTATGTTATTTGCCAAAATCAGTCTTATCTTAGCAAGTACTACACTACAAATCCGAGTTTATATACTTGTTCTTGCAAAAATGTTGCTGAGGTCATCACAAAACTGTGTAAAGTAAAAACTCAACTCGAAAATGCTGAATGTTTCATTGTACTTTCGACCAATTTTTTGGTTTGCCGCTCATTGCTACAACGGTATTTACTATAAGGCGGGCGCTCATTGGTTGAAATGTGACATTAGTTTGACAGTTAGATTATACTTCAATTTGAACAAGGCGGCAAAGTCAACGCCTACACTGATCCAACAATTGATTAACAATTCAAAAATATTGCTCAACTTGTACAAACTTTCCAAACACCCACTCCCTTATCTCCGAAAACCTTCCACTATCCATTGTCCGATTAAGTTCGCACTCGAAACGCTTTTTATTGATTGTGTATCCGTCTCAAAAAGTGATGACGTCATCTCTTGTGTTTTCATTTTCATTTTCTCGGCGTTATATCACAATTTTTCATTTTTTCAATGTTTCTTTCAATTTTACAGTTTTTCGTTTATTCAGTTTTCAGTTTTTTCAATTCGTCAATTTTCTGATTTTTAAATTTTGCCAATTACCCGATTTTTTTAATTTTCGGTAATTCAATACATACGTAGTTTTTTCTGATTTAGCACTTTTTCAATTTTTAATTTTAAAATCGAAAAATGGAAACATTTTAAAAATTATAATAAATATTATCACACCTAGAACTAAAAAATTGTAAATCAAAAATTGAAGCAATAAGGAAAAGCAAAAACGAAAAACTGAAGACAGAAAAAATTGAAATATCGAAAAATTCAAAAATTAAAAATCGAAAAGTCGTGAAGCTGCAAATCAAAATCGCAAAATTTAAAAAGTCAAACATCCAAAAGTTGGAAAATCGAAAAACTAAAAAATTTTAAAATGAAAACTCAAAGCTAAAAAATATGAAAATTTGCAAATCTAAAAATTGAAGTAGAAATTGAAAAAATAAAGAAAACAAAAAAAACCGAAACGAAAACCTGCATAGCGAAAATTTCAAGACAGGAAAAATTAAAAATCGAAAAATTTAAAATCAGATATCGTAGAATTGAAAAAGTGAAAAATTGTGAATCAAAAATTTGACAAACGAAAACTTAAAAACCGAAAAACTGAAAAAATAAAGAAAACGCAAAACCGAAACGAAAAATTGAAACATCCAAAAGTAGAAAAATCGAAAAACTGAAAAATTTAAAAATGAAAAATTGAAAATAGAAAAATTAGAGAAGCGAAAAATTGAACATGGAAAAACAAAAAATTAAAACACCGAAACATTGAAAAATCGAAAACTCGAGGAACTTAAATCCAAAAATTGAAAAACTCAAAAGTTGGAAAACTGAAAAACTGAAAAATTAGAATTGAAGAAGCGAAAAATTTAAAACAAATATTGTCATTTTATACATATTTAAAATGAAAACTAGAAAAATTGTGAATCAAAAATTTGACAAACGAAAAATTAAAACCCGAAAAACTGAAAAAATAAAGAAAACGCAAAACCGAAACGAACGAAAAATTGAAACATTCGAAAGTAGGAAAATCAAAAAACAGAATGAAAAACTGCATATTCAAAATTTTAAGAAAGGAATACGTGAAAAATTGAAAAAATATTGTCATTTCATACATATTTAAACGAAAACTAGAAAAATTGTAAATCAAAAATTTGAGAAAATTAAAAATTAAAAAACCGAAAAATCGCTAATAGAAAAATTTCCCATTGAAAGAAAGAAGAAAATACAAAACCGAAACGAAAAATTGAAACATCCAAAAGTAGGAAAATCGAAAAACTGAAAAATTTAAAAATGAAACATTTCTGGATGTTTCATTGCACTTTCGACCAATTTTTTGGTTTGCCGCTCATTGCTACAACGGTATTTACTACACGGCGGGCGCTCATCGGTTGAAATGTGACATTAGTTTGACAGTTAAGATTATACTTCAATTTGAACAAGGCGGCAAAGTCAACGCCTCCACTGATCCAACAATTGATTAACAATCAAAAATATTTCTCAACTCGTACAAACTTTCCAAACACCCACTCCCTTATCTCCGAAAACCTTCCACTATCCATCGTCCGATTAAACAATTCCCAAAAATCGATGTTGAAACAATCCAGTAAATTTCCGCAAAGCCCCCATGCACTTCCATAAATAAACCAACCCGATAACAACTCACCAATCTCCAATCCATTGACCTTGAACTTCGCCGAGATAATCTGCTCGGCGGACCACTGGGGGTCGTGGTTGGCGTCATCTTTGAAGAATGTCTCGTGCTTGGGCGGGTAAAAGCGATAACCTTCCTGAACTCCCGGGTGTCTTCGCAAAAACGAGCCGGTCGCCAATCTCCTCGTAACCCACTCGATGGGGATCATGTCGCAGCGCTTCGACACGAACGCCACATCGCCCGCCGACTTGACGAACGACGTCTTCACACCTAAAAGACGCCAATGGAACCAAAACAAACCACTTTATCGACGACTTACCAACGGAATTCAGAATTTCGAAAACTTTCCCGTTGGTTTTATTTGAAATTGCCGCCTTGCCGGCCAGGTCGTGCGCTTTGACACCATCGCCTGCTGTGATGCGGTCCTTGTTCAACAAAAGGCATAGGTCGGGGGCGCCGGGGAGCTCGTAGACTTGCTTGGTCTTGCCCTCGATGATCAACGGGCCTAGGGTGTAGCCTCCGACTAGCAAAATTCAAAAATTTAGAAAAATATCATCTGTCAATTGTAGAAGTTTGGACACCCCTACATAACCTGTTGATTGCACTTTCTTAACTAGCGGGATTGCACAAAAATTAATGAAAAACGAATTCTTACCTTGTTTGATGGTCGACATGGTGTTCAATGACAGAAAAACCACCGTTTTCTGCTTATAAACGACACTAAAACCCCCAAACACAGCTCTTTTGGTTTATAAATTGCTGCCAAGTTGTGCGCATGCGTACTGCTATTAGACGCCAATCAAGTAATCACCATTGGTCATCATGTCAATTTCGACATTGTTTTTCTCTAATTTTCTGAATTGAAACAATCGAAAATATGTTTTTTTTAAAAGTCTGCACATTTCAGTTGTGACGTGTTAGCATTGCTACCACTCGTACGTTCACACAAATTCCAGAAAAAAATGACGTCACATGTCGGTCCCAGCATCATTTCTTAGTACTTTCTTAATGTTCTAAATTAAATTAACGCAATTTTTGTTTTGTTTGCTCGAAATAGATCAGTTTCGTCACGTTTTATCACCGAAGTTACATTATTTTGTATTTTTCTGATTTTGCAAGCGATCACGTGGTCGCGCGATGGCGGGAGTGGGGGCTGGAGCACGTGGTTGCATAAAAGAACGCGCATAAATCATGGGCTAGTTTATTGTTTAATTAGCGAGGCGCGAACGTGGAAGGACCTTGTAAGTATGCGTTTAAAATTAAATTTAAAAAATAGTGTTAATCGACGTCTGATTGGTTGTATGAACGAGGGGTGTACAAAGTTCATTGACGGCGATGCGCGGACAGGTAAAGGTGCGCCTACACGAAATCGGACCAACAGGTGCTTTTTTTATGGTTGAAAAATGAAAAGTACGGTCACGTGTAGAGTTTGCCCCATTGCGTAAAGTAATGTTGTTGAAGACGTACGCACGAGGTGATGAAACGCGATAAATTGTTTCGTAATTGACTTGAAGGGGGTTATCGTGGGGTCAGCATGGTCACTTCTCGATCTTTTAATTGTGTGAATAGTAACATAGTTAGATTTTTTTAAATATACATGCATCTGCTGCACACTGTACTTCTTTTGTGTATTTTTTCAAATTTTCTCAAAATTCGTACAGTTTTAGTGACAGTCCAAACCAAGGACACCCGCTGGTAATTACAGCCATAAACCTCTTAAAACCCATAAATTCTCCATTAACAACAGCTTCCTAATCCCCAGGAAACTTTATTTTTCTGCAAACTTATCTTACCATGACTGATAAACTCTGATTACTCTCATCAAAAATAAATACTTAAACCCCACCACGACCGAGCCTCATTTCTAACAGTTCCTTCTTCATCTGCAGACCGACAAGAATGGCCTCCGAAAATTGCAGCCACGGTTCCGATGACGAAACTTGCTGCGAAATGCAGAACTTCGCTATAGAAAAAAGAAAAAATCGGGGCGCCGTCACGTCTGGATTGACGCACGAGTGCGGCGTTTTTGGGGCCATCGGGTGCGGGGAATGGCCCACGACCTTGGAAATCTCGCAGATTATCTGTTGGGGGTTGGTCGCTCTTCAGCACAGGTAAGTTCGCACTCGAAACGCTTTTATTGATTGTGTATGGGTTCCTAAAAGTGGTGACGTCATCTCTTGTTTTCGTTTTCATTTTCTCGGCGTTATATCACAATTTTTCATTTTTTCACTGTTTCTTTCAATTTTACAATTTTTCGTTTATTCAGTTTCCAGTTTTTTCAATTTGTCAATTTTCTAATTTTTAAATTTTGCAATTTTTGGATTTCCAATTATCCGATTTCTTTAATTTTCGGTAATTCAATACATAGTTTTTTCCGATTTAGCACTTTTTCAATTTTTAATTTTAAAACTGAAAAATGGAAATATTTTAAAAATTATAATAAATATAGAACTAAAAAATTGCAAATCAAAAATTGAAAAAATAAAGAAAAGCAAAAACAAAAACTGAATTGGTACATTGAAAAATCGAAAAATTGTAAAAATAAAGAAAACAAAAAAACCGAAACGAAAAAATGCATACTGAAAATTTGAAGAATGGAAAAATTAAAAAATTAAAAATCGAAAAATTAAAAAAATACTGTCATTTTATACATATTTAAAATGAAAACTAGAAAAATTGTAAATCAAAAATTTGAGAAAATTAAAAACCGAAAAACTGCTAATACAAAAATTGAAAGTCCAAAAATTGAAAAATTTCCCATTGAAAAAAAGAAGAAAATACAAAACCGAAACGAAAAATTGAACCATCCAACAGTAGGAAAATCGAAAAACTGAAAAATTTAAAAATGAAAAATTGCAAATAGAAAAATTTAGAGAAACGAAAAATTGAACATGGAAAAACAAAAAATTAAAACATCGAAACATTGAAAAATCGAAAAATTGAAAACTCGAGGAACTTAAATCCAAAAATTGAAAATTCAAAAGTTGGAATAATGAAATACTGAAAAATTTAAAGTTGAAAACTCGAAAAACTGAACATGAAAAAACAAAAAATTATAAAACTGAAACATTTTAAAGAATAAGAAAATAAAAAAATGAAACTAAAGATTAAAAACTCAAAAAATTTAAATCGAAAGATGGAAACATTCAAAAGTTGAAAAACTGAAAAACTGAAAAATTTAAAAATGAAAATATGCAAATCGAAAAATTGAAAAAACGAAAAATTGAAGTTGAAATTATTGAAATTGAAAAAAATTATAAAATCAGAACATTGAAAAATTAAAATTCGAAAAATGGAGAAGTGGAATAAATGGAAAATAAAAAAAATATTTAAACTACAAAAATTGAAATCAAAAATTGAAACGAAAAATTAAAAACCGAAAAATTGCTAATAGAAAAATAGAAAATTCCAAAAATTTAAAAATTTCCCATTGAAAAAAGAAAAATTATAAAATCAGAACTTTGAAAACCCGAAAAATTGAAAAAATAAAGAAAACACAAAACCGAAACGAAAAATTGCAAATCGAAAAATTGAAGAAACGAGAAATTAAACATGGAAAAAGAAAAAATTATAAAATCGAACAATTGAAAAAATAAGAAAATAAACCGAAACGAAAAACTGAAAAATTGAAAACTCAAGAAACTTTAATCGGGAAATTGCAAATCCAAAAATTAAAAAATTGAAAAATTGGAAAATGAAAAAATTGAAAAATTTAAACTTGGAAACCCGAAAAATTTAAAAATGAAAAATTGAAAAGTGGAATACATAAATGTAAAAATTTTAAAATCAAATAATTCAAAAATGGAAAAAATCAGAAATCGTAGAATTAAAAAAGTAAAAAATTTAAAACAGATATTGTCATTTTACACATATTTAAAATGAAAACTCGAAAAATTGTAAATACAAAATTTGAGAAAATTAAAAACCGAAAAATTGCTAATAGAAAAATTGAAACTCCAAAAATTAAAAAATTTCCCATTGAAAAAAAGAAGAAAATACAAAACTGAAACGAAAATTGAAACATCCAAAAGCAGGAAACTCGAAAAACTGAAAAATTGAAGATGGAAAAACAAAAAATTAAAACATCGAAACATTGAAAAATCGAGTAACTGAAAAAATAAGAAAATAAAAAACCGAAACGAAAAATTGAAAACGCGAGGAACATAAATCGAAAAATTGAACATGGAAAAAACAAAAAATTATAAAATTGAAACACTGAAAAAAATAAGAAAATAAAAAACAGAAACGAAAGATTTTAAACTCAGGAAACCCAAAAATTCAAAAGTTGGGAAATTCAAAAACTAAAAAATTTTAAAATGAAAACTCGAAGAGTCGCATATCTTAAAATTGAAGAGAGTAAAAAAAATGAAAATTTTCAAATCGAAAAATTGAAGTTGACATTGAAAAAACAAAAAATTATAAAATCAGAACATTAAAAAATTAAAATTCGAACAATGGAGAAGTGAAATAAATGGAAAAGTTTTAAAATCAAATAATTGAAAAATGGAAAAATTAAAAAATTAAAAAAAATATCGTTGTATGTATTATATACAATATTTAAAATGGAAACTACGAAAATCGTAAATCAAAAATTGAAACGAAAAACTGCTTATAGAAAACTTGAAACTCCAAAAATTTAAAATTTCCCACTGAAAAATTGCAAATCGAAAAATTGAAGAAACGAGAAATTAAACATGGAAAAAGAAAAAATTATAAAATCGAACAATTGAAAAAATAAGAAAATAAACCGAAACGAAAAACTGAAAAATTAAAAACTCAAGAAACTTTAATCGGGAAATTGCAAATCCAAAAATTAAAAAATTCAAAAATTGGAAAATGAAAAAACTGAAAAATTTAAACTTGGAAACCCGAAAAATTTAAAAATGAAAAATTGCATATCGAAAACTTGAAGAAAGGAAAAATTGAAAAATAAAAATCGAAAAATTGAAAAGTGGAATACATAAATGTAAAAATTTTAAAATCAAATAATTCAAAAATGGAAAAAATCAGAAATCGTAGAATCAAAAAAGTGAAAAATTTAAAACAGATATTGTCATTTTACACACATTTAAAATTAAAAACCGAAAAATTGCTAATAGAAAAATAGAAAACTCCAAAAATTTAAAAATTTCCCATTGAAAAAAGAAAAATTATAAAATTAGAACTTTGAAAACCCGAAAAATTGAAAAAATAAAGAAAACACAAAACCGAAACGAAAAATTGCAAATCGAAAAATTGAAGAAACGAAAAATTAAACATGGAAAAAGAAAAAATTATAAAATCGAACAATTGAAAAAATAAGAAAATAAACCGAAACGAAAAACTGAAAAATTGAAAACTCAAGAAACTTTAATCGGGAAATTGCAAATCCAAAAATTAAAAAATTCAAAAATTGGAAAATGAAAAAATTGAAAAATTTAAACTTGAAAACCCGAAAAATTTAAAAATGAAAAATTGAAAAGTGGAATACATAAATGTAAAAATTTTAAAATCAAATAATTCAAAAATGGAAAAAATCAGAAATCGTAGAATTAAAAAAGTAAAAAATTTAAAACAGATATTGTCATTTTACACATATTTAAAATGAAAACTCGAAAAATTGTAAATACAAAATTTGAGAAAATTAAAAACCGAAAAATTGCTAATAGAAAAATTGAAACTCCAAAAATTAAAAAATTTCCCATTGAAAAAAAGAAGAAAATACAAAACTGAAACGAAAATTGAAACATCCAAAAGCAGGAAACTCGAAAAACTGAAAAATTGAAGATGGAAAAACAAAAAATTAAAACATCGAAACATTGAAAAATCGAGTAACTGAAAAAATAAGAAAATAAAAAACCGAAACGAAAAATTGAAAACGCGATGAACATAAATCGAAAAATTGAACATGGAAAAAACAAAAAATTATAAAATTGAAACACTGAAAAAAATAAGAAAATAAAAAACAGAAACGAAAGATTTTAAACTCAGGAAACCCAAAAATTCAAAAGTTGGGAAATTCAAAAACTAAAAAATTTTAAAATGAAAACTCGAAGAGTCGCATATCTTAAAATTGAAGAGAGTAAAAAAATGAAAATTTTCAAATCGAAAAATTGAAGTTGACATTGAAAAAACAAAAAATTATAAAATCAGAACATTAAAAAATTAAAATTCTAAAAATGGAGAAGTGGAATAAATGGAAAAGTTTTAAAATCAAATAATTGAAAAATGGAAAAATTCAAAATTTTTTTAAAATATTGTTATATGTATTACATATACATATTTAAAATGAAAACTACAAAAATTGTAAATCAAAAATTGAAACGAAAAATTAAAAACCGAAAAATTGCTGATAGAAAAATTGAAAGTCCAAAAATGTAAAAATTTCCCATTGAAAAAAAGAAAAATTAAAAAATCAGAACTTCGAAAACCCGAAAAATTGCTAATTGAAAAATTGAAAGTCCAAAAATTGAAAAATTTCCCATTGAAAAAAAGAAGAAAATACAAAACTGAAACGAAAATTGAAACATCCAAAAGCAGGAAAATCGAAAAACTGAAAAATTGAAGATGGAAAAACAAAAAATTAAAACATCGAGGAGCTTAAATCGAAAAATTGAAAAATTCAAAAGTTGGAAAACTGAAAAATTGCAAATCGAAAAATTAAACATGAAAAAAACAAAAAATTATAAAATTGAAACATTGAAAAAAATAAGAAAATAAAAAACAGAAACGAAAGATTAAAAACTCAGGAAACTTCAGTCGAAAAATTGCAAAATCTAAAAACACAAAAGTTGCATATCTTAAAATTGAAGAGTGAAAAAAAGAAAATTTGGAAATCGAAAAATTGAAAAAACGAAAAATTGAAGTTGAATTTAAAAAAACAAAAAATTATAAAATCAGAACATTGAAAAATTAAAATTCGAAAAATGGAAAAATTCAAATATTTTATTAAATATTGTTATATGTATTATACATATTTAAAATGCAAACTACAAAAATTGTAGATCAAAAACTGAAACGAAAATTTACAAACCGAAAAATTGCATCTAGAAAAATTGAAACTCCAAAAATTTAAAAATTTCCCACTGAAAAAAGGAAAAATTATAAAATCAAAACTTTGAAAAACCGACCAATCGAAAAATTGAACAAACGAGAAATTAAACATGGAAAAACAAAAAATTAAAAAAAAATTGAAAAATTAAGAAAATAAAAAGCCGAAACGAAAAATTGAAAACTGAAGAAACTTAAATCGGGAAATTGCAAAATCTAAAAATAAAAAATTCAAAAGTTGGAAAATGTAAAAACTGAAAAATTTACACATGAAAACCCGAAAAATTGCATACCGAAAATTTGAAGAAAGGAAAAATTGAAAAATAAAAATCGAAAATTGAAAAGTGGAATACATAAATGGAAAAGTTTTAAAATCAAATAATTGAAAAATGAAAAAGTCAGAAATCGTAGAATTAAAAAAGCGAAAAATTTAAAACAAATATTGTCATTTTATACATATTTATAATGAAAAGTAGAAAAATTGTGAATCAAAAATTGAGGAAACGAAAAATTAACAACCGAAAAATTGCTAATAGAAAAATTGAAAGACCAAAATTTGAAAAATTTCCCATTGTAAAAAAGAAAAATTATGACATCAGAACTAAAAATCAAAAAATTTAAAAAATGAAAATACAAAACCGAAAAATTGCAAATCAAAAAATTAAAGAAATGAACAATTGAACATGGAAAAACAAAAAATTATAAGACAGAAACATTGAAAAATTGAATAAAGGAAAAAATAAGAAAATAAAAAACCGAAACAAAAAATTGAAAAATTAAAAATTGAAAACTCGAGGAACCTAAATCGAAAAACTGAAAAATTCAGAAGTTGGAAAGTTGAAAAAGTGAAAAATTGAACATGAAAAAACAAAAAAATATAAATTTGAAACATTGAAAAAAATAGGAAAATAAAAACCGAAACGAAATATTGCAAACTCAGGAAACAAATCGAAAAAAATTGCAAAATCTAAAAATTCAAAAGTTGTAAAATTGAAAAACTAAAAAATTTTAAAATGAAAAATTGCAAACCGAAAAACTGAAAAACATAATAAAATAAAAAACTGAAACGAAAGATTAAAAACTCAGGAAACTTAAATCGAAAAACAAGAAAATAAAAAACCGAAAGAAAAAATTTAAAAATTAAAAATTGGAAACTCGAGAAACTTCAATGAGGAAATTGCAAAATCAAAAAATTAAAAAATTAAACAATTTCCTATCGAAAATCTGAAGAAAGGAAAACTTGAAAAATAAAAATCAAAAATTGAAAAGTGGAATACATAAATGGAAAAGTTTTAAAATCAAATAATTGAAAAATGGAAAAAATCAGAAATCGTAGGATTAACAAGTGAAAAATTTAAAACAAATATTGTCATTTTATACATATTTAAAACAAAAACTAGAAAAATTGTGAAACAAAAATTGAGGAAACGAAAAATTAACAACCGAAAAATTGCTAATAGAAAAATTGAAAGACCAAAATTTGAAAAATTTTCCATTGAAAAAAAGAAAAATTATGAAATCAGAACTTTGAAAAATCAAAAAGTTGAAAAATAAAAATTTAAAAATTTTAAAATGAAAAATTGCATATCGAAAATTTGAAGAAAGGAAAACTTGAAAAATAAAAATCGAAAAATTGAAAAGTGGAATACATAAATGGAAAAACTTTAAAATCAAATAATTGAAAAATGGAAAAAATCAGAAATCGTAGAATTAAAAAGTGAAAAATTTAAAACAAATATTGTCATTTTATAGATATTTAAAATGAACACTAGAAAAATTGTGAATCAAAAATTGAGGAAAAAAAAAAAAATAACAACCGAAAAATTGCTAATAGAAAAATTGAAAGACCAAAATTTGAAAAATTTCCCATTGAAAAAAAAAAATACAAAACCGAAAAATTGCAAATCGAAAAATTAAAGAAATGAAAAATTGGACACGAAAAAACAAAAAATTATAACATGGAAACATTGTTAAATCTAATAAATGAAAAAATAAGAAAATAAAAAACCGAAACGAAAAATTGAACAATTAAAAATTGAAAAGTCGAGGAACTTAACTCGAAAAATTGAAAAATGAAAAATTGTAAATCGAAAAATTCAACATGAAAAAACAAAAAAATATAAATTTCAACAATTTAAAAAAATATTTGTACTGTTATATCTATTATACATATTTAAAATGAAAACTAGAAAAATTGAGAGTCCAAAAATTAACAAATTTCAAAAAAAAAATTGAAAACTCAGGAAACTTAAATCGAAAAATTGCAAAATCTAAAAGTTGAAAATTCAAAATTTGGAAAACTGAAAAACTGAAAAATTTAAATTCAGCTTGAACAATTGAAAAATTCAAGTCAAAAACGTAATTTTACAGTTTATCCAGACAAACATTTTCTGATATGTATTCCTTTGAAAAAATTGATGACGCCATCGGAAAAACTATTTAATGTTTATTAAAAGCACGTTTGTGGCGTTCCAAAAAAATCGAGCGTCACTTCATCAAAAAACAAACATCGTGATTACAAAAATTCGCTGACGACAATATTATTCTCTCGCTCACTAATTAAACAAAATTCCACCGAGCTGATTCCACCATCTCTTCAACTAATAGCTTTACGAATGAAAATAAACACCCAGATCCAATTCCGCCGATTTTGCGTTGCGTAATTAAACCGTTTCCAGGGGTCAAGAATCCGCCGGCATCGTCACCAGCGAGGGCAAATGCTCCAAGTACTTCAACATCGTCAAAGGCATGGGTCTAATCAGCAACATCTTCAACGACCAAGCCATCCGCAAGCTGAAGGGAAGCATCGGCATCGGCCACACCAGGTACTCCACGAGCGCCGCCTCCGAAGAAGTCAACTGCCAGCCCTTCGTAGTGCACACCCAACACGGCGCCCTCGCCGTGGCCCACAACGGGGAGCTGGTGAACTGCGACAGCTTACGAAAAATGGTCCTCGGCCGCGGCGTCGGGCTTTCCACCCACTCGGACAGCGAACTTATAACTCAGGCTCTGTGCTTGAACCCCCCTGAAGGCGACGAGCTCAACGGACCGGACTGGCCCGCTAGAATCAAGCACTTGATGCAGCTGGCGCCCCTTAGTTACTCCCTAGTCATCATGCTGAAGAATAAAATCTACGCCGTGCGAGATCCATATGGGAATCGACCATTGTGTCTGGGCAAGATCTTGCCCCAGAACGAACGTAAGCCCCCTCACTCTTATTTATTGATTTCACTACTAGTTAATAATAATTTCCAGCTCTGGATGGCGACTGCGACGACAGCAGGGAAGCCGAAGGCTGGGTCGTCTCGTCGGAGTCCTGCGGGTTCTTGTCGATCGGCGCCCAGTACGTCCGGGAGGTGTTCCCAGGGGAGATCATCGAGATGACTCGGCACGGAATTCGGACCATCGACATAGTGGAACGACCGGAGAACAAAATCCAGGCTTTTTGTATCTTCGAGTACGTTTATTTCGCCCGTGCTGACAGCATCTTCGAGGGGCAGATGGTGTACGCGGTGCGGATGCAGTGTGGGCGGCAGCTGGCCATTGAACACCCCGTGGAGGCGGACATTGTGAGCTCGGTGCCGGAGTCGGGGACGGCGGCGGCGCATGGATTCTCGAGACAGAGCGGGATTTCTTTCTCAGAGGTGCTGTGCAAGAACCGGTACGTGGGGCGGTCGTTTATTCAACCCAGTAATCGACTGAGGCAGCTGAGCATTGCGAAGAAGTTTGGTGAGTGAGAAAAGTTTATTCGTTTAGCCCATCCCAAAAATTTGTGACGTCATCTCAAAATTTTGTAATGGAAAATCAAATCTTGTAATTTTTCGAAAAATCTGAATTTTACAATTTTTCGTTTTGTCAACTTTAATTTTTTCAATTTGTCAAAATCTTGACTTCCAGATTTTTCAATTTTGCAATTTTTTTTTGATATTAGTTTTTCATTTTTCGACTGCACATCGAAAACTTGAAGAAATGAAAAATTCAAGAATCATAAAATTACAAATTGAAAACTGGAGGAATTAAAAAAAAAACGAAAAATTGCAAAATCGGAAAATTTACCAAACAAAAAAACGAAAAACCGAAAAATCGCAATTCGAAGAAACGAAAAACTGAAAAAATCAAAATTGCAAGAGCGAAAAATTAAAAAATCTAAAAGTTTTTGATTTTTGATATTACAATTTTTCATTTTTTGATTTTTCAGTTTCTCCACTTTTAATTTTTCGTTTCTTCAATTTTTCAAGTTCTTGATTTTTATTTTTTAATTTCCTGATTTTTTCATTTTTAGTTTCATATTTTCAATCACCGATTTTTCAATTTCTTAATTTCAATATGGTTCGATTTTGCAATTTTTGGATTTCCACTTATCTGATTTTCCAAGTTCTTGATTTCTAATATTTGGATTTTTCAAAGTTTTCATTTTCTAATTTCTTCGCTTTTTTATTATTTATTTTCACTTTTACAATTTTGCTATTTTTCCATTTTTTTATTCGAAAAGTTGAAAAATCGACAAATTAAAAATCAAAAAAGTCAAAAATTGAAGTTGAAATTGAAAAAACAAGAAATTATAAAATCGGAAAAATTGAAATTCTAAAAATGGAGAAGTGGAATAAATGGAAAAGTTTTAAAATTAAATAATTGAAAAATGTAAAAATTAAAAAATTTAAAAAATATATATATTATACATACTTAAAATAGAAAGTATAAAAATTGTAAATCTAAAATTGAAACGAAAAATTAAAAACCGAAAAATTGCTAATAGAAAAATTGAAAGTCCAAAAATTTAAAAATTTCCCATTGAAAAAAGATAAATTATCTAATCAGAACTTTGAAAACCCGAAAAATCGAAAAAATAAAGAAAACACAAAACCGAAACGAAAAATTCTAAATCGAAAAACAGAAAAATTTTAAAATAAAAAATTGCAAATCGAAAAATTGATGAAACGAGAAATTAAACATGGAAAAACAAAAAAATTAGAAAAATTGAAAGACCAAAATTGGAAAAATTTCCCATTGAAAAAAAGAAAAATTATGAAATCAGAACTTTGAAAAATCAAAAAATTGACAAAATAAAGAAAATACAAAACCAAAAAGAAAAATTGAAAACTCGAGAACTTAAATCGAGAAATTGCAAAATCTAAAAATTAAAAAATTCAAAAGTTGGAAAATGGAAAAACTGAAAAATTGAAACTTGAAAACCCAAAAAATTTAAAAATGAAAAATTGCATATCGAAAATTTGAAGAAAGGAAAACTTGAAAAATAAAAATCGAAAAATTGAAAAGTGGTATACATAAATAGAAAAGTTTTAAAATCAAATAATTGAAAAATGGAAAAAATCAGAAATCGCAGAATTAAAAAAGCAAAAAATTTAAAACAAATATTGTCATGTTATACTTATTTGAAATGAAAACCAGAAAAATTGTGAATCAAAAATTGAAGAAATGAAAAATTAACAACCGAAAAATTGCTGATAGAAAAATTGAATGACCAAAATTGGAAAAATTTCCCATTGAAAAAAAGAAAAATTATGACATCAGAACTCTGAAAAATTAAAAAATTGAAAAAATAAAGAAAATACAAAACCAAAAAGAAAAATTGTAAATCGAAAAACTGAAAAATTGCAAATCGAACAATTAAAGAAATGAACAATTGAATATGGAAAAACAAAAAATTATAACATGGAAACAGAAAAATTGAATAAACGAAAAAATAAGAAAATAAAAAACCGAAACGAAAAATTGAAAAATTAAAAACTGAAAACTCGAGAACTTAAATCAGAAAATTACAAAATCAAAAAATAAAAAAATTCAAAAGTTGGAAAATGGAAAGACTGAAAAATTTAAACTTGAAAACCCGAAAAATTAAAAAATCAAAAATCTCAATTTTACAATTTTTCGTTTTGTCAATTTTGACTTCTAAATTTTTCAATTTCCTGATTTTTCATTTTTAGTTTCCCGATTTTATCTCCCAATTTTTCGTTTTTTCATTTACTTTATTTCTTCAATGATTCTTTTGATTTTATAATTTTTCGTTTATTCAATTTTTCATATTTTCAATCTCCGATTTTTCAATTCCTTAATTTTAATATCGTTCGATTTTGCAATTTTTGGATTTCCACTTATCTGATTTTCCAAGTTCTCAAATTCAAATATTTGGATTTTTCAAAGTTTTCATTTTCTAATTTTTTCGTTTTTTTATTCTTTATTTTTGACTTTTACAATTTTGCAATTTTTCCATTTTTTGATTCGAATAGTTGCAAAATCGACAAATTAAAAATCGAAAAAGTGAAAAATTGAAGTTGAAATTTAAAAAACAAAACATAAAATCGGAAAAATTAAAATTCGAAAAATGGAGAAGTGGAATAAATGGAAAAGTTTTAAAATTGAATAATTGAAAAATGGAAAAATTAAAAAATTTAAAAAAATATATGTATTATACATATTTAAAATAGAAACTACAAAAATTGTAAATCAAAAATTGAAACGAAAAATTGCCAATAGAAAAATTGAAAGTTCAAAAATGAAAAAATTTCCCATTGAAAAAAGAAAAATTATAAAATTAGAACTTTGGAAACTCGAAAAATCGAAAAAATAAAGAAAATACAAAACTGAAACGAAAAATTCTAAATCGAAAACAGAAAAATTTTAAAATGAAAAATTGCAAATCGAAAAATTGATGAAACGAGAAATTAAACATGGAAAAACAAAAAAATTATAAAGTAGAAACATTGAAAAATCGAATAATTGAAAAAATAAGAATAAAAAACCGAAACGAAAAATTGAAAAATTAAAAATTGAAAACTCGAGAACTTAAATCGGGATTTTGCAAAACTAAAAATTAAAAAATTCAACAGTTGGAAAATGGAAAAACTGAAAAATTTAAACTTGAAAACCCGAAAAATTTAAAAATGAAAAATTGCATATCGAAAATTTGAAGGAAGGAAAACTTGAAAAATAAAAATCGAAAAATTGAAAAGTGGAATACATAAATAAAAGTTTTAAAATCAAATAATTGAAAAATGGAAAAAATCAGAAATGGTAGAACTAAAAAAGTGAAAAATTTAAAACAAATATTGTCATTTTATAAATATTTAAAGTGAAAACTAGAAAAATTGTGAATCAAAAATTGAGGAAACGAAAAATTAACAACCGAAAAATTGCTAATAGAAAAATTGAAAGACCAAGATTGGAAAAATTTCCCATTGAAAAAAAGAAAAATAATGAAATCAGAACTTTGAAAAATCGAATAATTGAAAAAATGAGAAAATAAAAATCCGAAACGAAAAATTGAAAAATTAAAAATTGGAAACTCGAGAACTTAAATCGGGAAATTACAAAATCTAAAAATTAAAAAATTCAAAAGTTGAAAAATGGTAAGACTGAAAAATTTAAATTTGAAAACCCGAAAAATTAAAAAATCGAAAATCTGAATTTTACAATTTTTCGTTTTGTCAATTTTGACTTCTAAATTTTTCAATTTTGCAATTTTTTTTGGTATTACAATTTTTCAAATTCTTGATTTTTATTTTTCACTTTTCCTGATTTTGCATTTTTAGTTTCCCGTTTTATCTCACAATTTTTCGTTTTTTCATTTATGTACTTTATTTTTTCAATGATTCTTTTGATTTTATAATTTTTCATTTATTCAATTTTTCATATTTTCAATCTCTGATTTTTCAATTCCTTAATTTCAATATTATTCAATTTGCGATTTTTGGATTTCCACTTATCTGATTTTCTAATATTTGGATTTTTCGAAGTTTTCATTTTCTAATTTTTTCGTTTTTTTATTCTTTATTTTTCACTTTTACAATTGTGCAATTTTTCCATATTTTTATTCGAAAAGTTGAAAAACCGACAAATTAAAAATCGAAAAAGTGTAAAATTGAAAAACTGCAAATCGAAGAACTGAAGAAATGGAAAATTAAAACATTGAAAAACTAAAAATGAATGAATCGAAAAATTGGAAAACCCAAAAAGTGTAAAGTCGAAAAATTATAGAATCGTCAAAATTGTATAGTCGAAGAACATTGGAAGATGGACAAATTGAAAGAATAAAGAAAATAAAAAACGGAAACGAAAATTTGAAGAAATGAAAAATTCAAGAATAGAAAAATTAAAAAATTACAAACTGAAAACTGGAGCACTGTAAAAAAATCAAAAAATTGCAAAATATAAAAATTAAACAAAGAATATGAAAAACTGAAAAATCGAAGAAACGAAAAACTGAAAAAATCAAAATTGAAGAAACAAAAAGTTATTTTCTTTATTTTTACAATTTTTCGGTTTTTTAAGGTTCCGATTTAATTATTTTTCATTTTTTCAATTTCAACTTTTTCAATTGCAATTTTTCGACCGCACATCGAAAATTTGAAGAAGTGAAAAATTCAAGAATCGAAAAATTAAAAAATTACAAATTGAAAACTGGAGAAATAAAAAAAAACAAAAAATTGCAAAATATAAAAATTTAACAAACAAAAAAATGGAAAAGTGAAAAAGCGAAAAATTCAAAAATCTAAAAGTTATAACACGTGGTTTATTCCGTAAAAACTTTATTCAACAAAACATAGTATATACACTGCATAGACATAGACTGGTTACACGAGTTCTTAAAAATGGTCACTCCGCGGACGAACAGTCCTGATAACTCGTACACTCGCGAACACCCGGAGCGTTTTTCCACGGCCGGACCTGCGGGACCCCTCGGATACGCCGCTGATACTCAAGCCGACTTACTACTCGATTTGGACCTCCAAGACCCCTCGGATGCAAGGTGATACGCAAATGAGCTGTGAAGTTCGCAGATGGAAAAACTTGCCGAATCTGGCCGCTCGGGTCCTATGTAAAGGCGGCTAGAAATGCGTCGCGTGGGAGTGAAAGGGCGCACCGCCCTCTGGTAAGGGAGCGAGCGAGTACCGGGGTGCTGCGGCAGGGTAGTGGTGGTGCGTGGGCGTGACAGAGGGCGCTAGGGGTACTGATCGCGCTACAAAGTTGTAAAATCGAAAAATTGAAAAATCTAAACATTAAAAAAATCACATTGAAAAAAAGAAAAATTATAAAATCAAATATTGGAAAAATAATAAAAAAAAAAACCGAAACGAAAAATTTGCAAATTGAAAAATTGAAGACCTGAAAAATTGAAAAATCTAAAAATTAAAAACTCGTAAAATTGCAAACTCTAATAATTGAAACATCCAAAAGTTGGAAAATCTAAAAACTGAAAAATTTAAAAACGAATGTTCGAAGAGTTGCATGTCGTAAAATTGAAAAAACCAAAAAAATTAAAAATTGAAAAAATTAAAAATAATAAAATCGAAACCTTAAAAAATCTAAAAATTGTAAAAATAAAGGAAATAAAAAAAAATCGAAAAACTAAAAACCGAAAAAATGAAAAAAGTCAAAATTGAAAAAGAGAAAAATTAAAAAATATAAAAGTCGAAAAACTGAAAAATTTAAAAATGAAAACTCGAAGAGTTGCATGTCGTAAAATTGAAAAATTGTAAAAATAAGGAAAATAAAAAAGGGAAACGAAAATTTGAAGAAATGAAAAATTCAAGAATAGAAAAATTAAAAAATTACCAATTGAAAACTGGAGCACTTTAAAAAAATAAAAAAATGCAAAATATAAAAATTAAACAAAGGAAACGAAAAACTGAAAAATCGAAGAAACGAAAAACTGAAAAAATCAAAATTGAAGAAACAAAAAATTAAATCTAAAAGTTGAAAAACTGAAAATTTTAAAAACCAAAGCATTAAAAAAATTCACATTGACGAAATACTGGAAAGGTATAGCAAACAAAAAATCGAAACGAATTTCCGTTTTTTTATTTTCTTTATTTTTACAATTTTTCGATTTTTCAAGGTTCCGATTTTATTGCATTTTTGCATTTTTTCAATTTCAATGAAATTGAAAAATCGAAATTTTATTAACTCGTAAAATTGCAAACTCTAATAACTGAAACATCCAAAAGTTGGAAAATCTAAAAACTGAAAAATTTAAAAACGAAAATTCGAAGTGCTGCATGTCGTAAAATTGAAAAAACAAAATAAAAGAAAAACTGAAATTGCAAAAATAAAAAATAATAAAATCGGAACCTTAAAAATGTAAAAATTGTAAAAATAAAGAAAATCGAAAATCTGAAGAAATGAAAAATTCAAGAATCATAAAATTAAAAAAATTCAAATTGAAAACTGGAAAGTAAAAAAAAATCGAAAAATTGCAAAATCGAAAAATTTAACAAATAAAAAACAAAAAACTGAAAAATCGCAATTCGAAAAATCTGAAAAACAAACTCTAAATTGAAAAAGCGAAAAATTAAAAAATATAAAAGTCGAAAAACTGAAAAATTTAAAAATGAAAACTCGAAGAGTTGCATGTCGTAAAATTGAAAAATTGTAAAAATAAGGAAAATAAAAAAGGGAAACGAAAATTTGAAGAAATGAAAAATTCAAGAATAGAAAAATTAAAAAATTACCAATTGAAAACTGGAGCACTTTAAAAAAATAAAAAAATGCAAAATATAAAAATTAAACAAAGGAAACGAAAAACTGAAAAATCGAAGAAACGAAAAACTGAAAAAATCAAAATTGAAGAAACAAAAAATTAAATCTAAAAGTTGAAAAACTGAAAATTTTAAAAACCAAAGCATTAAAAAAATTCACATTGACGAAATACTGGAAAGGTATAGCAAACAAAAAATCGAAACGAATTTCCGTTTTTTTATTTTCTTTATTTTTACAATTTTTCGATTTTTCAAGGTTCCGATTTTATTGCATTTTTGCATTTTTTCAATTTCAATGAAATTGAAAAATCGAAATTTTATTAACTCGTAAAATTGCAAACTCTAATAACTGAAACATCCAAAAGTTGGAAAATCTAAAAACTGAAAAATTTAAAAACGAAAATTCGAAGTGCTGCATGTCGTAAAATTGAAAAAACAAAATAAAAGAAAAACTGAAATTGCAAAAATAAAAAATAATAAAATCGGAACCTTAAAAATGTAAAAATTGTAAAAATAAAGAAAATCGAAAATCTGAAGAAATGAAAAATTCAAGAATCATAAAATTAAAAAAATTCAAATTGAAAACTGGAAAGTAAAAAAAAATCGAAAAATTGCAAAATCGAAAAATTTAACAAATAAAAAACAAAAAACTGAAAAATCGCAATTTGAAAAATCTGAAAAACAAACTCTAAATTGAAAAAGCGAAAAATTAAAAAATCTAAAAGTTGAAAAACTGAGAAGTTTAACAATAAAAAATTATTTAAAAAAAATACAAAACTGAAATATTGGAAAAATAAAGCAATTAAAAAACCGACACGAAAAATTGCGAATTGAAAAATTGAAAAATTAAGAACTCGTAAAACTGCAAATCGTAAAATTGAAAACTCTAATAATTGAAACATCCAAAAGTTGGAAAATCTAAAAACTGAAAAATTTAAAAACGAAAATTCAAAGTCATGTCCTAAAATAGCAAAAAAAAATGAAAAACTGAATTTGAAAAAATAAAAAATAATAAATAGGAAACTTAAAAATAAAAAAATTGTAAAAATAAAGGAAAGAAAAACGGAAACGAAAAATTGCAAATCGAAAATTTGAAGAAATGAAAAATTGAAGAATCAAAATTAACAAATTACAAACTGAAAACTGGAGAAATTAAAAAAAAAATAGAAAAATTACAAAATCAAAAAATTTAATAAACAAATAAATTAAAAACGGAAAAATCGCAATTCGAAAAATCGAAGAAATGAAAAACTGAAAAAAGAATCAAAATTGAAAAATCGGAAAATTAAAAAATTCTCAATAAAAAAAAAGAAAAATTATTAAAAAAAATACAAAACCGAAAAATTGAAAAAATAAAAAATAGGTGTAATAAAATCGGAACCTTAAAAAATCTAAAAATTGTAAACATAAAGGAAATAAGAAAACGCAAACGAACAATTGCAAATCGAAAATTTAAAGAAATGAAAAATTCAAGAATCATAAAATTAAAAAAATACAAATTGAAAACTGGGGAAATTAAAAAAAAATCGAAAAATTACAAAATCTTAAAAATTTAACAAACAAATAATTAAAAACGGAAAAATCGCAATTCGAAAAATCGAAGTCTAAAGTTCCTTTGTTTTCCAAAAAATGTGTTAAATTTATTTGGATAATTTTAACATTTAATTTTTTTTAGTAGCTCAGTACAAAAATAAAGAATAACACAATTTAGGGCCAGTTTATACAATATTTTAACTGAGTTTAAGTTGATCGCGCATTTAACAAGGACATTAGTGACGTCTGATTTGCGTAGAGTCGGTCACATGATACTTTAACGCGGGGTTAAAAATTAAATCGCAATTAAATTTTTAATTGAGGTTCTGTAAACCGGGTTTAATTGTTTTATATACTATTTTAATTTTAATAAAAAAAGCTGACCGATCGGCTGTTTAGCCGACTAGTCGTCGACTGCAGCCGACGATGAAAAACGGCCGAACAGTCGGCTTATCCGACCGGTACATCCCTACAAAATTCATATTAAAAAAAAAGAAAAATAAAAAAAATACAAAACCGAAATATTGGAAAAATAAAGCAACTAAAAAAAACCGAAACGAAAAATTGCGAATTGAAAAATTGAAGAACTGAAAAATTTAAAAACGAAAATTCGAAGAGCTGCATGTCCTAAAATAGAAAAAACAAAAAAAAATGAAAAACTTAAATTGAAAAAATAATAAATAATAACGGAAACGAAAAACGGGAAAAAATGAAAAACAATTGCAATTTGAAAACTGGAGAAATAAAAAAATGGAAAAAACAAAAAAATGAAAAACTGAAAAATCGAAGAAACGAAAAACTGAAAAAATCAAAATTGAAATAACGAAAAATTAAAAAATCTAAAAGTTGAAAAAGCGACAAAATTAAAAAAAAAATTACTTTACAAAATTTCACACTCAAAAAAAAGGAAAAATTATAAAGTCAGTACACTGAAAAACCGAAATATGGGAAAAATCAAGCAATTTGCAAATAAAATACAGAAACGAAAAATTGCAAATCGAAAATCTGAAGAAATGAAGAATTGAAAAATTAAAAATCAAAACATTGAAAAGTCGAACAAATGAAAAAGTCCAATAATGATAGCAAATGGAAAAATTCTAAAATCGTAAAATTGAAAAAGTGAAAAATTTTTCACATTAAAATTATTATTACATATTTAAAATAAAAACTGGAAAAGCAAAAATTAAAGAAAAGAAGAATAAAAAATCCAAGAATAGAAAAGTCGAAAAATTGAAAAATCCAAAAATTGAAAAAAGAAAAGCTTAAAAAATCACAACAATAAAAAAATAAAAAATAAAACAATTAAAATTATATTAATATTATTAATTAATAATTTACTCTTATATTGTTTCAGGCGCTTTGTCTGGCAGCGTTAAAGGCAAACGCGTCCTCCTCATCGACGACTCGATCGTCCGCGGCAACACCATCGGCCCCATCATCAAACTGCTCCGAAACGCTGGTGCCAAAGAAGTCCACATCAGGGTAGCCAGTCCACCACTACTCTACCCATGCTACATGGGCATAAACATCCCTACCAGAGAAGAACTCATCGCTAATAAACTCAACCCAGACGAACTAGCAGTTCATGTTGGTACGTACCCCCACATTAAATCACCCCCAAGATTATCACTCTCGTTGTCTAGGTGCCAACAGCCTGAAATATTTAAGCGTAGAAGGCTTAGTGAAGGCCGTCAGATCAGACATCAAGACCAAAAATCCGCACAAAGTGGGCCACTGCACTGCGTGTCTCACGGGCGAATACCCCGGAGGCGAACCCCACAAAGACCTGGATTGGTAAATCGACCCGCCGCCGGAAGAGGGCGTTAAATAAGAATCTCGTTGAGCTTGAGGTGGTCCACACCGATTTATTTATGACGTGATACAAACATTCCCTATATTTTCGTTAAAAAAAATATGAAAATGTGATTATATATGTAGTTTAGGTTTGTTAGTTGACCACACTAAAACCGATTATGAATGAAAGTGGGTTTTTAAAAATATAGTTTGAATGCAGTTTGAACACTTTTACTTAAAATCGTAACGTCAGGTAAACAGTACATATTTACAAGTCAGTATATACAGACAATGGACAAGGATTACCTTAAAGACACCCGATATCATGACCGCTCATGCCCTGCTATGTGTTCAATATCTGTCACCTCCTTGGGGCAATTCCGCGTCAACACAACTGGTCCATCTTCCGTTATTAAAACATCGTCTTCTATCCGAATACCCAGACCTTGGTACTCCTTCGGTAACTGTGTTTGCTTGTTATTGATATACACCCCTACCAACCAAAATTCCAATTTAAACTAAATCAAACACAAAAACCCTATACCTGGTTCAACCGTGACAACCATCCCTGGTCGTACTTTTATATTCCTGGTAATCAGGGGTGTGTCGTGGACGTCCATCCCCAAATAATGCGACACATGGTGGGGGCAGAACTGATACGCCGCCTAGCGAACAAAAAATTAGAAAAAGCGCAAACGTCACTCAAACGTACTTTAATTAAAGCTTGACTGGTCAGTATTTTCGGGATTAATCCGATTTGCTGTAACCCTTTACCCAAAAGGGCACACATTGTGTCAAAAAGACTGTCCAAAGTGGGGAAGGTTTCACACTCTTTGATCAGTTGTTTCTGGACGTCGAGGACCACCTCGTACACTTCTCTTTGATGGGGGCTGAACTTACCATTGATGGGCCAGGTTCGGGTTATGTCGCTGGAATAACCATGCAATTCGCAGCCTGAAATTAATAGTAATTGGAAAAATATGTGAATATGACACAGTTTTAAAAATGGTATCTTGATTTGTTGGTACCACACTAAGGAAATAAAAATTCCTGGATTTTGACGCGAATCAAGTGGCTGTGTGTCAACGTTCTAATAAAAATTGAGGAACTGAAAAACTGAAAAGTCGAAACCTTGGCAAGTCGAAAATCGGAAAATCAGAAAACAGATTAATTGGAAATCCGAAAACTGAAAATTTAGAAACATCAAAACTTAAAAATTAAAAAAATTGGAAAATTGAAAAATCGGATAATTCAAAAATCGAAAAGCCGAAAAATTGAAAAATCGAAAAATAAAAAATTCGAAAAAAAGAAAAATTAAAATATACAAGAACTGAAAAATAGAAAAATTCAGAAATCAAAATATATATAAAACAGTCGAAAATTGAAAAATCTAAAGTTTAAAAAACGGAAAACCGAAAATCCAAAAAATTAAAAATCGAAAAGTCCAAAAATAGAAATATTGAAAAATCCTACAACTGTTCCGTTTTTCATGTTTTCGAATTTTTCAAATGTTTTGATTTCTTAATCTATCGATTTTTCGACTTCCCGGGTTTAGATTTTCTGTTTTTCAAGTGTCATTGTGTAAAATTTTCGAGTTTTTAATTTTTCAAATTTGGCTTTCATACTCTCAATTTTTCGATTTTTCAATTAATCGATGTTTTGATTTTCCCACATCTTGACCTTCGAACGTTTCGATTTTCCTGTTCTTCAGTTCTTTAATTTTTTGATTTTTCAGGTTTTTGGTTTTTCAATTTTTCGATTTTTTAAGGTTTCTATTTTTCGACTTCACTTTTTTGATTTATAGATTTTTCAGTTTTTAGATATTTCAGTTTTCGGATTTATCAATATTTCAATTCTTCGGCTTTTCTATTTTTGACTTCTAGATTTTTGGATGTGTCTATCTTTTTACTTTTTCGATTTTTAAATTTTAGATTCTTCAATCTTTTGATATTTTAATTTTTCAATATTTCTTAATCTTTCGTTTTTTCGACTTCCTGGTTTTAGATGTTCTGTTTTTCAATTTTTCGATTTGTTAATTTTTCATTCCCGATTTATCGAGATTTGATTGTTCAGGTTTTCGATTTATCAGTTTTTCAATTTTGTATTTTGGCCTAGTTCAGTTTCTCAGTTTTTCCAGTTTTCCATTTTTTCGTTTTTTTATTTTTCCGCTTTTCCAATTTTTCAACTTTTAACTTTTTGTTTTTTGATTTCTCGATTTATCGAGATTTGGATTTTTCGATATTTTGATTGTCGGTTTCTCAATTTATAAATTGTTCAATTTTTAACTTTTCGATTTTTCGATTTTGGCCTATTTCGGTTTCTCAAAAAATTAAAAATCGAAAAGTCGAAAAATAGAAATATTGAAAAATCCCAAAACTGAAACAAATATCCAAAATTGAGAAATTAAAAAATTAGCCAACCAAAAAATCCAAAAATTGAAGAATTGAAGAACTGAAAAATGGAAATTGCGAATTCGAGAAACGGGAAAATAAAAAAAAAATATTAATTGAAACATCGGGAAACTGAAAATTTAGGAACGTCAAAATTTAAAAAATTGGAAAATAGAAATCCTGAAGAACTGGAAAATCAAAAAACCCAGAAATCTAAAAATCTAAAATTTAAAACATTGAACAATTGAAATATCGCAAAATTGAAAAATGGAGAAATCCAAACATTAATGAATCAAAAAAGAAAAATTCGAAAACCAAAAAATTAAAAATCGAAAAACTGAAAAATCGACAAATCGAAACTCCAGAATTAAAAAAAAATTGAAAAACCGGATAACTGAAAAATCGAAACATCCAATCATCTGAATTCGATAAATCGAGAAATAAAAAAAATTGAAAAATTTTAAAAAAGAAAAATTAAAATATAGAAGTTGAAAAATAATTAAGAAATCGAAGTATAAAACTGTCGAAAATTTGAAAAATCTAAAGTTTAACGAAAAATTGAAAATCCAAAAAGTAAAAACGGGGTGGAAACCCAAAAACTGCAAACTGAAAAATTTAAAAATTGGAAAATCGATGAATTGTAATCGATTTTGGCACATGACATAGCCTCTAAGAAAAGAGGGTGGGTGGGTGGGGCTAGTACCTGCTACGAAAAAGTGAAAATTAAAAAATCGGTAAAATGAAAAATAAAAATCGGAAATAAAAAAATTGGAAAAGGGAAAAATTGTCAAATTGAAAAACTGGCGCAAACCGAATAATTGAAGGAACGAAAAATTGAAAATTTTGGAAGTCGAGAAGATGGAAAATTGAAAAATCAAAAATAAAAAACGAAAAATTACAAAATGAAAACTTGAAAAATCTTAAGAATCCAAAAAGTGAAAAATAAAAAAAAAAGAAATATGTATTACGAAATAGAAAAATTGAAAATGAAAGAAATTGGAAAATCGGAAGACTGGAAATCCAAAAACTGCAAAGCGAAAAATTTAAAAATTGAAAAATGGATGAACTGAAAATTCAAAGCCTGAAAATTTGAAAAATTGAAAAATCGAAAGAAACGAGAAATAAATGAATTAAAAAAATGAAAATTTGTGACAAAATCGAAAAAATGAAAATTAAAAAAATCGGGAAAATGAAAAATAAAAATCGAGAACATGAAAAATTGAGGCAACGGAAAATTGAAAATGACAAAAATTAAAAACTGCGAATGTGAAAAATCGAAAAATGAGAAACTGTAATATCGAAAAATTGAAAATTTTGGAAGTCGAGAAATTGTAAAATTGAAAAATCTTAACAATCGAAAAAGTGAAAAATAAAAAAAAGAAATATGTATTATGAAATAGAAATATTGAAAATTAAAGAAACTGGAAAATCGGAAGACTGGAAATCCAAAAACTGCAAAGTGAAAAATTTAAAAATTGAAAAATGGACGAACTGAAAATTCAAAGCCTGAAAATTTGAAAAATTGAACACATAAAAAATTGTAAAATCGAAAAAAAAACACAGAAAATAAAGGAAATGAAAAAACGGACAATTGTGATATAAATCGAGAAAATAAAAATTAAAAATTCGCCACATTGAAAAATAAAAATCGGGAACATGAAAAAGTGTGGAAACAAAAAATTGAGAAACTGAAAATTCGAAAAATTGAAAAATCGAAAGAAACAACAAGAAATAAAGGAATTGAAAAAATGAAAATTTGTGAAATAAAATCGAGAAAATGAAAATTAAAAAAATCGGGAAAATGAAAAATAAAAATCGAGAACTTGAAAAATTGAGGAAACGAAAAATTGAAAATGACAAAAATTAAAAACTGAGAATGTGAAAAATCGAAAAATGAGAAACTGTAATATCGAAAAATTGCAAAATAAAAAAATTGCAACTCGAAAAATTGAAAAATTTAGAAGTCAAGAAACTGTAAAATTGAAAAATCAAAAATAAAAAATGTCAAAAGTGAAAATTAAACATGAAAATTTGAAAAATCTAAAGATTAAAAATTGAAAAAGTTGAAATTCGAAAAAGTGAAAAATAAAAAAAAAAAGAAATATGTATTGTAAAATCAAAATATTGAAAATTAAAGAAATTGAAAAATTGGAAGACTGGAAATCCAAAAACTGGAAATTGAAAAATTTTAAACGTGGAAAATCATGAAATTGAAAAATACAAGCCTGAAAATTTGAAAAATTGAATAAATAAAAAATTGGAAAATCGAAAGAAACAACAAAAAATAAAGGAAATGAAAAAACGAAAAATTGTAATATAAAATCGAAAAATTGTGATATAAAATCGAAAAAGTGACAATTAAAAAATCGGGAAATTGAAAAATAAAAATCGGAACAAAAAAATTGGAAAAGGAAAAAATTAAAAATTGAGAAACTGAAAAATCGAAAAATGAAAAACTGTAATATTGAAAAATTGCCAAATTGAAAAACTGATGCAAACCGAAAAATTGAAGGAACAAAAAATTGAAAATTTTGGAAGTCAAGAAACTGTAAAATTGAAAAATCAAAAATAAAAAACGAAAAATTACAAAATGAAAACTTGAAAAATCATAAAAATCGAAAAAGTGAAAAAAAAATGAAATATGTATTATGAAATGGAAATATTGGAAATTAAAGAAATTGGAAAATCGGAAAACTGGAAATACAAAAACTGCAAAGTGAAAAATTTAAAAATTGAAAAATGGACGAACTGAAAATTCAAAGCCTGAAAATTTGAAAAATTGAACACATGAAAAATTGTAAAATCAAAAAAAAAACAGAAAATAAAGGAAATGGAAAAACGGACAATTGTGATATAAATCGAGAAAATAAAAATTAAAAATTCCCACATTGAAAAATAAAAATCGGGAACATGAAAAACTGGAAACGAAAAATTGAGAAACTGAAAATTCGAAAAATTGAAGAAACGAAAAATTGAAAAATCGAAAGAAACAACCAGAAATAAAGGAATTGAAAAAATGAAAATTTGTGAAATAAAATCGAGAAAATGAGAATTAAAAAAATCGGGAAAATGACAAAAATTAAAAACTGAGAATGTGAAAAATCGAAAAATGAGAAACTGTAATATCGAAAAATTGCTAAATTAAAAAATTGCAACTCGAAAAATTGAAAAATTTAGAAGTCAAGAAACTGTAAAACTGAAAAATCAAAAATAAAAAAACAAAAAAGTGTATAATAAAAACTTGAAAAATGTCAAAAGTGAAAATCAAACATGAAAATTTGAAGAAACGAAAATTTAAAAAATTGAAAGATTAAAAATTGAAAAACTTGAAAATCAAAATATTGAAAATGAAAGAAATTGAAAAATTGGAAGACTGGAAATCCAAAAACTGCAAATTGAAAAATTTTAAACGTGCAAAATCACGGAATTGAAAAATCAAAGCCTGAAAACTTGAACAATTTGAATAAATAAAAAATTGTAAATCGAAAGAAACAACAAAAAAATAAAGGAAATAAAGAAACCAAAAATTGTGACCTAAAATCGAGAAACTTTTCAAATAATTTTGAATGTTATTTTTTAATTAAGTAGGCAACCAACAATACACCTACCTGCATCCATCAATACCATGTCTCCGTTCTGCACCACCTGGTTGTTGTTAATGTAGTGAATAATATTGGCCCTGCTGCCCCCTGCCACCACTGGTGGATACGCCAAATACTCAGCCCCCTGCACCCGACATTCGTAGTCCACTTTGGCAAAAATCTGGCTCTCGTTGATACCTAGCAAGAACTCACAAATCGCACATTTCTTTAAAAATACTTACCCGGATAAGACGCTTGAATGGTTCTCACGATGGCTTCCGAAGCCACGTCGCACGACTTCTGCATCAACGCTATCTCAGCCGGACTTTTAATCAACCTCTGCCTATGCACAAAAACCTTGGGCGATTCCCACATCTTCTTCCCCATGTAGTTGAGATAGTCGCACATGATTTTGTGCACCTCGGTCTGAACGGGGTTCATATAATCATACCTGCACAAACACTCATTTTTACAAAAAAAAAAAAAAAACGTCTGTCTTTTTAATTACCAGAGAGTGGAAGTTTTGTTGGAACGCACGTACGACTGCAGGTAATTTTCGAGTTCATCAGCCGGCAGACTCTGATCGACTCCGAACAAATTCGGGGCACAATCGGGCCCCGTCCTCGGCCCGTCCCACAGTTCCGAGTGGTCGTCTTTTCTCCGCATAAACAGCACCGAGCAGTGTTGACTCGGAGTGTCCGTGGCTGTCAACACCAAACAACTATCGGGCTCCAAACACCCCGTCAAATACAGAAAGTCAGAGTTCTGGCGAAAAAAGTACGGGATTTTATCCGACATGTACTGCTTCGAGGCTGATGGAATAACGACCTGTAATCACGTAGTAGAGAGAATTTCGGGGGTGAAAAAACGCACCAAGTGTTGTTTTATTTCTGGGTTACGCTCACGCACGTAGGTCGCGATTTGCTCGATCAGTTTGTGCCTGCGATTTTCAAACTCGCTTTTTTTTACAAAGGGGGTGATTTCGTCTTTTTTTACCAACTGGGGGTGCGTTTCGTGGGTGGGTTGTCCGTAGGTTTTCGTGGCGAATTTTTTATTGAGCTGGTATTTGCCTTTCGTTGCTTTTTGGCAATAGGGTCGGAAGACATCTGGAAAGTGAGGTTAGGGGGTGCGGAATGTGAAAGAATAGGTACCTGATTTGTGGAAAATATTAAATATGAGTTTCTTTTTTGTGGCGAACATGGTTGATCACAGATTTTTTTATTAAAAAAAAGGGGGTTGTAACTGAAATTTTTAAAAGTGAGGTTAGGTGTGCAGACTGGATGTCATTTGACATGTAGCTGTCGAGTCGGATTTACACTGAACAACTATCACACTTTTATAATAATTAAAATAGTAATCAGTGGTAATCTAGTTGAAATATGTTTCAATAACGTCTACAATTGAGTTGTGCTTACAAAATAAATAACATAATATTTGGTTGATTTACCGCTGAGTTTAAATTAAAGCCAGGTGCACACTGTGTAAATAGTAAATTTATTTACTTCATCAAAAATAAAGCACAGAATCTCACGATAAATATAAAAATACGTCATTTGTTAAAAAAAAACCTCAAGGAAAATATCAGTCAAGGTACCATTGCAGCCGGAGTGATTCTTAACTTAAGTCTAAGAAAGTAGCACCTTACTAGATAACATGTAACCTTTCCCTTGGAACACTAAACTATAACAATACACAACTAAAACTACCATCATGACGTGCTAGGAAGCCTTAAATCGTTAACCACCTCCGGGACTCTAACCACAATACCGTCCATACTTTCAGTCAGACAAACTTGGCAGCCTAATCTTGATGTGTCTGTGACATCCCGGGCTAATTCAAGCATGTCCACTTCTTCACCTTCTGGTTCTTCAGGCAATTTATCGTAATCTTCCTGCTTGAATATGAGATGACAAGTTGAGCAAGTTAGGGTGCCTTCACAAGCGCCATACCCATCTAAATTAATATTATTCTTAATCACTACATTCAAGAAGTGGTCTCCGACATCCCCTTTGGTTTTAATTTGCGTGCCGTCGTGTTTCACAAACGTGATTTCGATTCTTAAAAAAAAATTAAAAACACTGAATTCTTTCACCATTTTACTTACTGTTTTTTACTAAGACGGGGGACCCCGTTCGTGAAAACTCGACACTGGTTTCTGGAGATTTTTGGTATGGTGTGTCTAGCAATTCGGGTGACGAAAGACATGGTGTATTTTTCTCTACACTGAGACCTCCTAGAAGATTCTTGTCATTTTACAATTGAGATACGTTATCTCTGGTGCTTTTTATCAGGGTTTCAAGTGCAAAATGGATTTTTGGATAACATTGAAATGCGTAAGCAGGTATGGAGGAGTCGACACGTGTTTGAACTCTTTCACAATGTTCGAGAATGTGAATTTATAATTGAAATGTGATGATTTTTTTTAGCTTTTATTCTTACTTGTTGCGTAAGGTCTGCAAGTGCTTGTGAAATTTTATTGGCTAGAAAAAGTGCGAAATTATTTAAAGAGGTCACGTGTGCACGTGTCGAGTGGTTTCGATCAGTTTCGATGTAAATGGGGGTTATGTTGCAGTGGTGTAGGCAACCCGTTATAAGCTTGTGTATTTTGGGTGGTTTTCGTAATCCAAGCTTCGTCTTTTCAGAAAACTTGAAGTCAGTTCCCGCTTCATGTGGACGTTATGTCACAGGTTTGTTGATTGGATGCGCCAATGATTTTGGCAAATGACATACCGTCTAAGAAAATAACGGGCGGGTTGGCGGGGCTACTACTTGCTAAGACAAGACTGATTTTGGTGAATGATATCTTCTAAGGAAATAAAAGGGTGTACCATTTGCCAAAATCAGTCTTATCTTAGTAAGTACTAGCCCCGCCCACCCACCCTCTCTTTTCTTCGGGGTTATGTTATTGGCCAAAATCAGTAATACCTTAACAAGTACTACGTAAATTTAATTTAAAAACTTATTAAATTATATTTCGATTTTTGGACATTTTTTTTTAAATCAAAACTTTACTGTTTTAAAATTTTCAAGTGTGATGTACTTCTTATATTTTCAGTAAAACGAAATAAAATTAAAAACAAAATTGACGCTTTTTTCTCGAGACAACTAGTCAAAAGGTCAAAATTAGGTTCAAGGCTTTGACTTTTTAAATCGTAAGGCTTGCGGTATGATTTTAATTAAAGTTTTGACTATTGAAATTTCGAAGATCGATTTTTAATTTTTAGACGTTTAAGATATAATTGTCAAAGCGTAAGCTCTAAATTTTGAAATAATAAAAATATGACATAAATCGAGAGGTCCTCATTTTAAAATTTAGAAGCTTTAAAAAGAATTACAAACTTTGACTTTTTAAATATAGTTTTCAGTTTCGAGATCGTAAGTATCTCAAGTATCGGTTTTTGAATTCCTAGGCTAGTAGGAATATTTCGAATTTTGGAGTTGAAACTTCGAAAATCTCAAAACTTCGATATTATCGTATCAGAATTTTGACTTTAAAACTACGATAAAATCACTTATACCACGAAGATCTTGAAGTTACAGTTTTTGCTGAAATTAAAACGGAGCTTTAGAATTTTCAGATTCAATTTTTGATGGTCGGAGAAACAGTTTTTAAAATATTGAAGCTTTATCTACTAATTTAAAATTTCCAACTATAATGTATATATTTATGAAGTACAGTATAATCTCTATAATCCGAACCCAGGATTATCCGAACATCCAGTAATCCGAACAGAGGCTAGTTGAAGTCGATATCTCTTTAATCCGAACAAAAACTCTGCAATCCGAACTGAACTCGAAAACATTACTTAATTCTGGAAACAAGGTTGAAGTTATCGAAGAAATGAGGCCGGAAGTGACTTCTGCGCCCCGAAATCTACAAGAAAAAGTGTTTAGTTAAATTTTGAAAATAGTCGAAAATGGGTCGAAATTTGCTAGTACTTGCCAAATAACCTACCCTCTAAGAAAATAAAAGACGGGTGGGCCAGGCCAGTATTTGCCAAAATAAGACTCACTTTGCAAATGACCTACTCTTCTAAGAAAACGTACTAGCCCTGCCCACCCACCCTTTATTTTCTTAGAAGAGTGGGTCATCTGCCAAAATTAGTCTTATTTTAACAAGTACTAGCCCCGCCCACCCACCCGTATTTTTTTAAAGGATATGTGATTTGCAAAAATCAGTCTCATACTTGCCAAGATAAGACTGATTTTGGCAGATGACATATCCTCTGAAAAAATACGGGTGGGTGGGCGGTAGTCTAGTACTTGTTAAAATAAGACTAATTTTGGCAGATGACCTATTCTTTATTTTCTTAGAAGAGTAGGTCATTGGCCAAAATGAGTCTTATTTTGGCAAATATGTACTAGCTTTCGATTTTTCAACTTTTCGAATTTTTCAATTTCTCGTTTTTTAAATTTTCAATTTTTTGATCTATCTTCCGATTTTTGATTTCTTTGGGCAAACGAAAAAAACTTTCGATTTTTTAATTTTACAATTTTGGCAGTTTTCCTATTTCTCAATTATTCGATTTTTAAAAATATCGAGAAAATAGATGTTTATTTTTTTTAATTTTCGATTTTTGATTTTTTGTCACCGGGTTTTTGGAAAGGAGTAAAAAACAAATTTTGATCAGCAATCCGCCATGTTTACCGTAACTTTAAAACATCTGAAAATTTTGTTTCTAATCTTCAATTTTGGATTTTTCGTTTTTTCAAAATTTCGGTTCGAATAAATTTGTTCTTTTAGTTAAAAAATCGTGAAGAGGAAAAATTTTAACTTGAGAACTTGAAAAATTAAAAATCAAAAAATTCCAAAATTGTAAAGTTAAAGCTTGAAAAATCAAAGATTGGAATTAAAAACTGCAAAATTGTCAAACAAATTATCAAATGAAATATCTAAAAGTTGAAAAACCTAAAAACTAAAAAAAAAATGAAAACTGGAATTTCAAATTCGATTTTATAAGATTTGTTTTTTTTTCAATTTTTCGATATTTCAATTTTTGATTTTCCGATTATACAGTGGTACAATTTTCTGATTTTTCATTTATCCGATTTTTCAATTTGTCATTTTTTTATTTTTACCAAGTACTGCCCCACCCACCCACCCTTTATTTTCTTAGAAGAGTGGGTCATCGGCCAAAATTAGTTTTATTTTAACAAGTACTAGCCCCGCCCACCCACCCGTATTTTTTAGAGGATATGTCATTTGCAAAAATCAGCCTCATGCTTACCAAGATTAGACTGATTTTGGCAGATGACATATCCTCTAAAAAAATACGGGTGGGTGGGCGGGGCTAGTATTTGTTAAAATAAGACTAATTTTTGCAGATCATCCTTGCCAAGATAAGACTGATTTTGGCAGATGATATCCTCTAAAAAAATACGGGTGGGTGGGCGGGGTTAGTACTTGTTAAAATAAGACTAATTTTAGCAGATGACCCACTCTGTTAGAAGAATAGGTCATTGGCCAAAGTGAGTCTTATTTTAAAAGTACTAGGCCCGCCCACCCACTGTTACTTTCTTAGAGGATCTGTTATTTGCAAAAGTCAGTCTCTTAATTGCCAAGATAAGATTGATTTTGGCAGATGACCTATTTTTTATTTCCTTAGAAGAGTAGATCATTGGCCAAAATAAGTCTTATTTTGGCAAATACTAGCCTGGCCCACCCGCCTTTTTTCAGATATTTTCGATTTTATGGATTACTTGTTTTTTGGATTTTTTCGATTTTTTCGATTTCCTGGATTTCTTAGATTCCTTGGTTTTTATTTTTTGGATTTCTTGTATTTCCTGGATTTTCTGGATCTTCTGGATCTGGTGAATCTTTCGGGTCTTTCGTTCTTTTATTTTTTGGATTCTTTGGGTTCACTCTCCTTTTTTTTTAACTAGCTCGCGCTCTTGTTCTTTCTTTTTCGCTCTCTTTTTCGATATCCTTCTCTTTCCCTCTCCCTTCCTCTTTCTCTCTCTGCCATGTTTACCGTAACTTTGAAACATCTGAAAATTTTGTTTGTAATTTTTAATTTTTGGATTTTTCGGATTTTCAAAATTTCGGTTCGAATAAATTTGTTCTTTTAGTTAAAAAATCGAAAAATGACAAATCGTTAAAAGGAAAAATTTTAACTAGAGAACCTCGAAAAATTAAAAATCAAAAAAATCCAAAATTATAAAGTTAAAACTTAAAAAAATCAAAACACTGGAATTGTAAACTGCAAAATTGTCAAACAAATTATCAAATGAAATATTTAAAAGTTGAAAAATCTAAAAACTAAAAAAAATGAAAACTGGAATTTCGAATTCGATTTTATAAGATTTGTTTTGTTTTCAATTTTTCGATATTTCAGTTTTTGATTTTCCGATTATGCAGTTGTACAATTTTCCGATTTTTCATTTATCCGATTTTTCAATTTGTCATTTTTTTATTTTTAGCAAGTTCTGCCCCACCCACCCACCCTTTATTTTCTCAGAAGAGTGGGTCATCTGCCACAATCAGTCTTATCTTGACAAGTACTAGCCCCGCCCACCCACCCTTATTTTCTTAGAGGATCTGTCATTTGCAAAAATCAGTCTGATACTTGCCAAGATAAGATTGATTTTGGCAGACGACTTACTCTTTTAAGAAAATAAAGGGTGGATGGGCGGGACTAGTACCTTTTCTTAGAAGGCTAGGTTATTGGCCAAAATCACTCTTATTCTACCAAAAACTAGCCCCACCCACCCGCCCTTTGTTTTCTTAGAGAGTAAGTCATCTGCCAAAATCAGTCTTATCTTCGCAAACACTAGCCCCCCGCCCACCCTCCCTTATTTTCTTGGAGGATATGTAATTTGCCAAAATAAGTCCCATCTTGTCAAGTACTAGCCCCGCCCACCCACCCTTTATTTTCTTAAAAGAGTGGATCATCTGCCAAAATTAGTCTTATTTTAACAAGTACTAAGACCGCCCACCCACCCGTATATTTTAGAGGATATGTCATTTGCAAAAATCAGTCTCATACTTGCCCAAATAAGACTGATTTTGGTAGATGACCTATTTTTTATTTTCTTAGAAGAGTAGGTCATTGGCCAAAATGAGTCTTATTTTGGCAAATACTAGCCCCCCGACCCGCCCTTTGTTTTCTTAGAGAGTAGATCATTTGCCAAAATCAGTCTTATCGTAGCGACTACTACTAGATCAGCTTTCGATTTTTCAACTTTCGAATTTTTCAATTTCTCGCTTTTTAAATTTACAATTTTTTGATCTATCTTTCGATTTTTGATTTCTTAGGGCAACTGAAAAAAAACTTTTTAGAATTTTGGCAGTTTTCCTATTTCTCAATTATTTGTTTTTTAAAAATATCGAGAAAATAGATGTTTATTTTTTTAAATTTTTGATTTTTGATTTTTTTGTCACCAGGTTTTTGGAAGGGAGTAAAAAGGAATTTTGATCAGCAATCTGCAATGTTTACCGTAGCTTTAAAACATCTGAAAAATGTGTTTCTAATTTTCAATTTTTGGATTTTTCGGTCGACTAAATTTGTTCTATTAGTTAAAAAATCGAAAAATGACAAATCGTTAAAA